GAGATATTTGTAACTGACATAACCTGACCTAACCTAAGTTTACCTAACCACCTCCCAAAATCAGTTTCAGCAGAATGCGGAAAAACAAAATTCACAGTTTCTGGTAGGTTGTTGTGATTATGAACTCATCCTAAAGATTTGTCTGGATGGTAGTGCTGTCCATAGGAATGAGGTACTGAGATAACAGGAAAGTACTGATTTTTTAACAAAGGCTTAAGCCTTACAGAAAAAGTCTGGATATTATTTTCATAATCCTGCAGAAAGTTTTGCCTCAAAAATATAAAATTTCTCACTGTATGGGTTGCATTTTTTATGCATTCCCAGCATAGGATTAATATATTGGGAATTTGTTGAGACAACAGGATTTTATGCCCCTGAATTTTCCCAAACTTAAGCCTTGTCAACCTGGGGGCATTTCAGTGATCTTTGGTTTACCTTAAATGTCCCTTCACCTTGAAAAATTCTGACTTTGCTGCAGAATGGCAAGGAACCCTCTGCAGTCCAAGCAATATAAAGCCAAGAATATCTTCAATGAAAAGTTGCTATAATTAGTTGATTGCTTATTTCTCGAAGTCAAAACCTCCCTGAATCATTTTTGTGTGTGATCAGTTTGAATTCGTCTTGAAGACGAGTACTGTATACATATTAGAGAGTTTCCCTATAATAATGTTGTGCATTTTCATGCGTCAAAGTCTCTCACTCTCTCCTCCTGCGTCAGTGTACTCTGGACAACTGCTCCACGGAGTGATGGGTTTCCCCTGCTTGAACCGCGTGAACATGGTGCAGCAGAGCAGTGCAATAACGATCATCATGAAGGTCGACGGCATTACCACCACCCTGTAGTAGGTTTCTTTGTCAAAACCCATGGCATACGGCTGCAAAGGATCCGCCATCATGTGCTGGGCAGCCATCTGCTGGGACGGGTCTTCGAAATACGGCGCAAAAGGGGCAGAACTGTGAAATGAATATAACCAGAGATCTTTTATAAATGCTTGTTGTCTCCAAATCATGGCTTCAAATTCATTGATGGAAGCCCTTAATTTTAGACTTCCTCCAGGATTGTATGGGGGTTCTGCAGCTGCTCCAGAATATCATTGAGAACTTGAGAGGTACAGTAAGACCACAAAATGCAGATGCTAGCATACACACGATTCAACTTAGGGACAAATCAATCAATAAAATATTTGAAAATTTATTTTTAATTATTTGAAAATAATTGAATCATCTTCATTTGTATCTCATATAAAAAGTGGTCACAAGAATGTTGTTTCTCAATAATTCAAGTACATTGTGCTTGATGTACTGCCACGTAAACACAAAGAAGTTTGCTCATTCAATGCCACTCAAGCAGAATTTAATGACAACAGGCTCCTTTTCATCCCCCAGCAAAGGTGGGATTTTTTGCATGCAAGGTCCATTTCAGTTTAACCAAAGATCACCAAAATGCATTGGTTAAGAAGGCAAAAGTTGAGAAAACTCTGGGCAGAGTAAATCATTTTAATTTGATAGATCTCAGATCCAATCCTGTGCTATAATGATGCAGTTAAGAATATCATATCAAACCAAACCAGGATTTTTTATTAAAAACTAAAATGGACTTTCCCCCTGGCTTTCCCCGTGGTTCTTCATTTAGGGTTTACCACTTTTGTGTTGCAGAACTACCCATATTTACTCAAGTACCACATGCAACTGAGTAAGCCAAACACCCCAATTTTTCAGCAAGAAATTTGCCTGAAAACCTATCCCTGTATGAGATGCACTCCCCAGTTTTTTTTTGTTGAGATGTTTCCAAGTACAATACTCAGTTGTTGCTGAGATTTAATTATTGTGAATTTTTTTAGTGGATCCACTTTCCCCTATTGACATTTTGTTTTTCCTTCTTTTTACTGTCAGCAGCTCCCTCAATTATGGGAATATCTTTTGCTTCCTGTACTTCCTGTTGCATCTTTAACTGATACCTAAAATCTGCTATCCCTTTGACCATCACTCTCTATATGAATAGCAGGACTTGGCACCACAAATTTCCTTTTGAATTTTCTTTACTGTACCCACATATAATGCGCAGAGTTTTCAAAAAGAATTCCTAAAAAATGTTATTCCTGGGTACCATAGACCCTATTTTCTGCCTCGAATTCTGAAAAAGGGTGCACATGGTACTCAAGTAAGTACAGTATCTCAACTATGCCACATATGGGTTAGGCAAGGATATTCAGCACCCTCAAGTACAATACTGAACACTATAGACAACAATCAACAATAAACCAACCTCAACAGCAGCAATATTCAGGCCATGCATTGTTGGCAACACTTGCAGGGCTTCTCATTTTCAACCAAGAAGATTACTTTATTTGAAAGAAGAAAAAAAAAACCAGGGAGAAACGGAAACAAACTCACTGCAAAAAGGCCCGTTTCTGCAACTGGACAATAGACTTGGCATCTGCCCCGGGGTCCGCGGGCATTCGCCAATAATACGCGGGGTCCGCATCTGCGGACTGGCCAAACATTTGGCGGCCAACGTGGGAATACATCTCTACTGCTACATGCTCCGGAATTTTTCTGGCATCACTGGCTAGGAATTTAGCTGCCTTACAAGGGGGTTGGGGGGGAGTAATTCTGGGATAAAACCAGCAACTATTACTTATTCAGTCTGCTTAGCCAGGTTGTCCGGGGCTTCGCAAATGTTTTCCTCTTTATTAAATTGAGGGCCCAGCTTTCTTGTGCCATAAAACATGATATATTTTTTCCATTACTCGACACGAGGTTTACATGTACTGTAATATGCATCAGGAGGAGCGTGTGCATTTCTTTTGACTGATTCAGTGACCCTAATTATCCCGTCAATATTTGTGTGAATTATCTTATGCCGGGATAGGATTATTATTCAGTAGATGATAATTACCAAGAACTTTTGAATTCAGATCATTTTATTTGGATTGAGGTTCATCTCGAACATGTTGACTTTTGGAGTTATTTTTTTTTCTTATCTAGAAACAATTTACAGGTGCTGGTACCTCACAACTTGACCGTAATCTGTTGCTGAACTAGGGTTGGATTGCAAATCAGTCAAATTGCCAGACACTTCATCAAATTCAAAATGTAAGCACAAAAACAGAGAAATGGAAAAAGCAGGTTGAATTGCAGGGCAAGGGTCAAATTGCAAGTCAACCTTCCCACAAATTGGACCATTAAATTGTGGGATGGTTGAATTGCAAGAGAGCAAATGGCAAGATACCACCAGCATTTGAAGAATCCTCTCAAAATTATTATTTTCTTAGCACTGGGCTGATTTATTCACCAAATTTGAAGATACTGTTTATTGCCAAAATTTTTGAGAACTTTTGATTCCAAAACATATTGTGTAGCATTTTATGCAGAAGCGTAATTGATTTCTATTTTAATTTTTATCTGGTTTTAATTACATTTTGGTTGTAATGAACAACCCTGCTCCTGATGCACCACTCATGTCCATATCTCAGGGTCTCACTGCATTTACTCAAATTCCAGCTGTACCACACAATCTGAAGTTGATATGTGTAATTGCTTTTCTGGTCCTAAAATATGAATAAAATCACATCTCTGGGTATGTATTATGTACCCCATGTCTAGTGACAAAAAATGGCAATATTTTGAAAATGAAACATACCAGAATCAAAATGTTGACAGGAATTGAACTGAAATGTAATTTACTTAATATTGCTTTTATTTAAAAATGTTACGCTTAACTTGTTTAAAAAAAAATCTGGTATGACTATCCCTTATGCATTGTTTGCAATGCCCATCAACTTTGTGTATAGGAAGTGTATTCATCCTGATAGATGCCATTACTCTAGGCATCACACACCGTGAAGTAAACAATATGAGGCTAAAAGAGGAAATAGTTGAGAGTGTTTCATATTCTCAATTTCTCATCTTGGCTAAATTTATTACGCAATAAATTGGTAATACCAACCAAATATTAGAATGGTATGAGACAATAAGTGTATGTCTCATATCAAACAGTCTGATGTTTACAATCCAAATTGTTTGATATGCGCATTCCTCAACCTTGACTGGCCAAAGTTATAATTCCAGGTGTGTTCAAGTGTGGGGCAAGCTTACCACAGTCAGTCACTATTGAGATACCTTGTTGTTGCCACTCTGCTTTGCAACATATTGTCTGTATGATACTGTGTGAAGTTGTATAAGTAAAATACTTCTGAATACTCTCACTGAGTAACTTTTGCGTTTCCTTTGGAAGTCACAGAAAACAACTAAAATCTCCAACCTCAGTCTACATTGGTGGAGTGATTAAGATAATGGTAATTGACTGATCAACAATATATTTGTATTTACTCTCCAATTCAAGACAATATATCACTGAATGATATTGTAAAAGGTTGCTGAAAATACCAAAGCAAAGTGGGAATGCAACATGCAGATGATCTGCATATGAACAATTTGACTTGGAGAAATTTGAAACTCAAGAAATCTGCCCTAAAATTAAGAAAATGTCTCAAAACACATGAAACTCCACAAACATTCCTAGAAAAGTCATACAAAATTCTTTTTCAAAAATTTTGGTAACTCTTATTGAAGAAATTGTGCTTTCAACAGTTACAAAAAAGAAACATGAATTTCATTTCAAATTGTGTAATTCATTATCCCAACTGGGCTATTTTCTTCATATTTTTCTTCTTCCAGGGTTATTTCTTTCATCTGTGCAAATCCAGTGTAGGAGGACTTCAGCTTTCTTTTGGGTGTTGGGCTCATTTTCATGCCTTCTGATCAGATTAGGTCTATTATTGTGTGTATTCATCTCCATTATTATCTTCTGTTCCTCGAAGTTCAAAATTATTTCAATTTTGGGGACATATTCATGATTTTTATGGAGAATTGATTGCATATGTTCCCATAGAACTCGATGAGCTAACACAATCTGACATACAGACATTCTTCTGACCTGAGGAGAAAGACCAAGCAAAAATCACATCCACATCTCATAAGATCCATACTGTATATTAGGTATCTCCTACACATATGTCTTCTCTGGATGGACCACAACATCCCTTTTATTTGCCTGGTGTCAGGCCGATTGATGACAAATAAAATAGTGAGAAAGAATAAACGCAGTCACTCAGCCTTTAACGGCCGGATCCTCTTTAGCAGAGTCCCTTTAGAATAATCAGCTTTATCCACACACGCATAAACCACAGAAGGATACGAGGTACCTAGAGGTACAAACAATCGCGCTAGGACGCAAGTATGAATTCACAGTCAGGTAAATCCACAAGCTCTCAGTCGCAGCTCTTGAGATGTATTGTTCTTCTTCCGAAGCCCCGAAGGCTTTGGGAGCCGGCGTTTGCTGCCAGAAATGATTATCTTTGTTCTTGACCCGGTTTACCGCAATGCGGTAAACTGGGTGCCCTATCCGCTTCCGGGTTGGCATGTAGGAGTTGCTGCGCGGTATACCCGAGCGAGGATGCTACGCTCGGGTTGCCGCGTGGACGCGACCCCACACCTGGTCAGTTTTCAGAGGAAAACCTTTTCAAAGGAACCGCTTCCATTTTGATAATACCTTTAATCTGCTTACAAAAACAATCTAAGAAAATTTGATGCTGCTGAAGTGCAGCCGAGTGAAGGTGCCGATCGTCGTGACAGGCATTTTGGCGGCAGTTTATGCTGGGGGTGTTGCAAGAGGCGTCTCTGTGTGTGCTGATACCGCCTCTTTGCGGCTGTGGGGACTGTTTCTAGTCGCCAGTTACGCCTTGAGCTTTGCTGGAAACATATTAAAGGCATTTGCGGAGGAATCTGTGATTGCTGGAGACTTCCGTCGACTGGCGAGGTAAGTGAAGTATACTCCAAATGTCTATGTACCAATAAATCATGGCGCGGAAATTTCCTTAGGATTTGCATGGGTTGACTGTGAATGATGCAGCACACTGAAAGACAAGTCTGTTGAGTGTGACGAATGCTTGGAGTATATGCCCGTATGTCAGAGCATTTCAATTATGGATCAGGTTTTCCCATAGGCTTCAATGGGAGTACTGTAATTCATTTTCCAGTTAATCAAAAATTAGGAATAAATCACCAAAAATCGAGTAAAAACATGTACCTCAACCGCAAGACGCAGCAAATTATGGTCTTGACTCTTGAGTCTTGACTCTTGGGGGAATTCAGGGAGGAACTGAGGAAAAATTAACAAATCCCCTGTGTAAGGCCTATGGGAAAGGTTACTACTTACCTAAAAAAATAAATTACTGCAGTTCCACTGCAAATACTGAACCACTTTCCAACACTAGGAACCCGCAGCCTAGGAACTGCAGAAAAATTAACACATGGAGGTTTGGATGGGAGAGGGTTTGTTCTCATCCTGAGGCAGAGTCCAGATTTTTCTGGGGGAGGCACATTTCAGTATGGCCAAATGTCACTGGATTGTCTCTTTATTAGGAAGGTGTGAGTCAAGAAAAATCCTGGCAAACAATATCCTATTGTCTTGAGAAATTCCAAATTTTAATCCTAAAGTAGGAATGCCAGAAAAAACACCACGCATAAGTGAAATACAGTGAGACCCCAAGATGTGGACATGATTGGTGCATCAAGAGTGTCCCTAAGTCAAATTGTTTTTTTTTCTGTAGACTTACATTGTATACTTTTTAATTGGTGTTTTATGTACAAAATACTCACCATAATTCCATGAAAATAAAAATTGTCTCACAATTAACCATAATTCCATGAAAATGAAAATTATCTTGCAATTTAAACTGATTCCAATCAATATATTTCAACACAATACAGGCATTTGGGGAATTCAATACCTCTGTACAGTACCTAGAAATTTTGACATTCTCTAAAAAAATAATATTCCATTAAAAAAGAGAGAAGGAAGTCCCTGTATGCTGAAAGTAATTTTTTAAATTAGCTTAATGGATGGTAAATTTGTGACAGAAATGCCCAAGAATGTTTCTTACATCAATTTTAGGGTTGGAAATATCTGTTTCTTGTAATTTAGCCTGAAATGTATTTGAAATTTTATAACAAAATGTCCCAATGTTGAGTCAGTGTCCTCATGTCAGGCCCTTTTTATTAATTTTTTATGAGAAAATAAGTGTCCCTACATTGAATTGTCTGCAGGTCAAGGTGTCCGCATGTGGGGGTCTCACTGAATATACAGAAGTTTACAGGAATAATCTTCTGAAGGATTAGACAAAGTATCTCTTGTTTCCAACTGAGTCCTTGGTACAAAAATACAACTTTTTAATATTTCAGACTCAGGAGCACAATTAACATTTTGCAAAAATATTCCAACTTTGCCACACAAGGATTGAACGCAATGGCTGTATTATCCTATCCTAATTTTCTTCTCTCTTTTATCTTCAAACCACTTTCTAATAAAGATGGACTTTCTCTACAACAATCTCGTCTAGATTGAATTTTTCTATGCTACACATTGTTTGCAGTCCCATACGGTTCTCTCCTCATGTTATATAGGAGTGATCTATACAACAAGATTCTCGCTACACTGATTTTTTTCTGGTTTCTGGCATTTTTTTTTGCAGAGAGACTCCACTTTTATTGAGATTTTTGATAACCAGGAAAATAATTTCGGGTCACTTTCTCTTTGCTTTCTTCCAGTAATGTCGCTTCATTTTCAGAATAACGAGCCTGTATGCATGCATGGTGTCCTGGTCGCTGCTGCTGGCCCACGTGAGCTCTCATTACGGCCACACCAAGACGCGGGTGGCGGCACTGGTGAGTGCAGCCGCCTTGCCCCTTGCATCCGCATTATTGCTGTGGCGAAGACCAGCTGGGCCGCAATTGGGCGCCGATGCCGCCACTGCGCTGCTGGCGTCCTTGACCGCCGTGATGGCGGGCAGCGAAGGCAATGAAAGCCTGTGGCGAGGCGCCGTGTTCCACGCCATGGCCGCCATCATGTTCGGCACCAACTCGGGGACGCTGTTTTACTTGGCGACTGTGCCGGCCAACGGGGCACTAGCTCAAGGCTTTGGTTGTTGTTGATACATCACAAATTAAATCGGAGTGACGCCTGGATGATATCGAGTTGGATATTTTCTCATTTGTCCTCCCACACACACCGCCCCGACTGGTTCTGAGAGGGGCTGTATACATACAGTATTGTTTGCTGTGTTTCTCTCCCTCTCTTATCTTTTTCGCGTATTTTTGTACTAATTTTGTTTTCGTCAGAAGCGGGTTTCGTTGGCTCTGTCATTTCTGCGACATCTACATGACAGTTTTGAGAACTCCGCTTGTGTAATATCTAGTTTAGGTGTCGCAAATAAAACCACATCGATCCAAATACAGTAGAACAGGGCATTCAGTCAAATGATCCTTTCAGAGTTTATCAACCTTTTCAAATGCAATTTTCCATAAAATATAATTTTGGCACAGATGTGCATGATATAAATCTGCAGTAGTGAATCACTGGACTTGTTGAATATGTCCACAATTTGTTTTGGATCACAGAAACTATGTACAGTACAAGAATACAGAATCTTGCTCATTCTTTGCAGATTCTTCACAAATTATTGAGTACACTGACTCAACATAAGGAAGCAGAATTGAATAGTGGGATATTCTAAAATGATAATAGAATATTAGAAAGTATAGAAACCGTTCAACATAGAGATCACACGTAGTACAGCATTTTAAATTGAACAAATTTTTGCACATGCAACCAAACATATGAAAACTACAATGTCAATCTTGATGACATGAATACTGTTTTCAGTTTTTTCTCAAAATTTAAAGAAGACTGCTGCTTTAGACAAAGGAGATGTCAGTTTTTGTTGAATTTTTCCTTCATGTCTTGTTGGATTATCTGACTAAATCACAGGACTTGACGCATGGGCAAGACCGCAAGAGAAAAGCAAAAAATGTAACTTTATGTGCTTTGAGAGGGAATGAAAGATTAATTGGACAAATGACCCCTTGCGTCCAAGTTCAAGATTCTGTCAACTCATTCAAGATGCTTGAAGCAAGAAGCAATTCAATGCCGAGAATATCACCAATTTCAACTTCCTGTAATTTGAAAAGATTTTCTTCAGAAACAAGTCAAACAAATGAGGTTCTTTCCCTGGCTCAAAACTTTTTTAATTTGAACTTTTGACTGATTGCTTGCAGTTTGACTTGAAGATGTTCCACTATATTTTCAACTACTGCATGACACAACTTTTGGAAGAGTTGAACACTTAGGAAAGGTTGACTGTACAAAAGAGATGTATAAAATTGTAAAAAAGCCAGAGTTTCACTTCAAGGAGTTATCACAAGGATGATGCATTTGTTTCCACTATACTGCAGGATATAGGTGGTACCCCCAATTTGACCCTGATCTGTTGCCAGGCTAGGGTCAATTATAAGCAGTTGAATTGTGAGACCATGACAAATACAACAGTTTCTACATTGCATTTGGTTTTTGCATCTCTCATCAGGTCAAATTGCCAGTCAAACTCCCAGAAATTTAACCAACAAATTGCAGAATGATGGTCAAATTGAAGGTTATTGAATAGCAAGGTATACCACCTGCATCAGTAAGATTGTAAGCATAGACATTGGAATGTTTCCTTAATAAGTGTAGATAAATGAGCTACCAGCACATTTTGATAAAGGAAGAATCTCAATGTGGACTGATGGATACTTCACTTTTAAGTACCACTTGATTAAATTTTTCCAAGAAAATGCCTCAGATACTTCACTTTCAAGTACCACTTTATTCAATTTTTCTAAGAAACTGCCTCCTTCAAAGTGCTGTATACTGTCCTGCACCTTAATATCAAAATTTGGTCCTGGAAGATTGACTTATTTCTGGCAACTACAGTCAAACCGCATTGAGATGCCCCCTGATAAAGCGCCACCCTAGGCAACTGCCAAAATTTTGAATGAGACAAATCTCCTCTATGTTAAATTCTATAGAAAACCTCAATGAGATGCCAACTGCCATCTGCCAGCATTAGTGATGAAACAAAAGTGATGTTTCCAATTAGTTTTGTCTTTGTTACAATGCCAACATTGGGGTAGAATTATAATTTCTACAAAGGATCTTGTATCTGTAAGAATAAAAAATAATAATGATCATTTTGTTGAGGATTTTGAAAAAATATATTGACCTTATCTTAAAATTTGAATAAATTGATGCAGGAAAATTTATTTTCTGAAAGAGTAATCCATTGATCACAGCAATACTCTTTGGAAAATTACAGAAGTTTCTGTACATAACTTGTATCTATATGTCTTTTGGAGTAAAATTGAGTATTTTTGATCAAATACTAAAAATTAAATATTTGATAAACCATCAACCCCTTTAAGCTGCCAAAATTGCTCTTGAAAAATGGTGGCATCTTAACATGGTTTGACTGTAGTTGGTTCATGATTGTTGACAATAGTTCCCAAGACAGGCATGTGGAAAGCCCAATGCCCTCATGCCAGCCCATCAGAAGTGAGTATAGCTTGCAAACAACTCTCTGTATATGCAGTAAGTGATTCCAGAAAATAAATTATACAAACCCTCAACACAATGCACTCATTTTGAAATAAGCTATTCTTATGGCTATGTTAGTGTATCCATGCTTGCTTATGCAGAACTTTTGATATTTTTTGTTGCCTAGCATGATGCAGCAAGAAGATTCAAATGGGAGGATTTTTAAACAGTCCACAGTCCTCAGGTCCTCACACAATTTTTGAGAACAGGTTAAAAATTGGGTAACAGAGCTCATCCAATTCTCTCATAAATGCTTATGTATACAGTTCTGTAGTCAGTTGGCATTTTGGAATGTATTTTGCAGAAAATTTATGTTCTATATTAGTGTATTGTATATGTTATCTGTTTTTCTTTTCAAAATCTTCGCCCTGAATTCATCAAGACCAAGTGGGAGGCATCCTATACATTCATACAAGGATCACAATTGGATTGCGCATCATTTTTCTTGGAGTTCTTTTAGAAAACAATTGTTTGCAACATGATTTTAATAATTATTAACAAAAAACATCCTATTTGCTTTTGGTTTAGGTCTGTTTTGGTGAAAAAGATGATGTCACTCCATTTAAGAAAATAAAACTCTACTCAATGTTTAATAACCCTTGGATTGCAGAGAGTTCCTTTCCATATACCAGGGCAAAAGTGCACTTTTCTGGTGTGGGTGTGCATTTCAGTTTTGCACGAGGAAGGGCAAAGTTGGATATTTTCCACAGATAACGAGGGCCCTGAAATTTTCCCAAGTTGGACTGTTTTTAGGACCTCCAAACTAAGACCCTGGCTTTCAAGTTTAAGGTTAATCCTTGAATGATGCAAATATACAAGATGAGAAATAAAATAAAAGTCAGCCTTGAAAAGGCCTTTTTTCATTGCTGTGTGGAAATTTTCTGCCGAGAGCCAAAAAAAACACCAGGATTTTTCTGGACTCAGCCTGGCAAACACTGTCATGAGTTTTTTTTTTAATGTCATCCTGAGTTTCACCCAACTTTACTGCAGAAGGGTTAAAGATTTTTTTGACAATAATAAAACCAGAACATTCCCAAAAACAAGCTTTCAGGATTTCCACCACGGATATTTTTTTGACTTCCCATCCAGTGCGTGTGGCATTTGATTTTTATGCAACTGCGCACGTTTTTTCTTGATTATATAAATAATTGAAGACAAAGTACTTGTTTCTACAGGCAAAGATTTTGAGTGACTTTTTCTGGTACACAAAAGTCTCCAATGGGTTGGCATAAAAAAATTCATTCTTTCCTGACATCCCTCTCACACATTTGAGACTTCCATTCAAAAAATTTGTGCATCAGCAAATTCGAATCTGCCTGGAACTACAGTACGTCCTTTTACTGGCCGATGGGCAGAAAAATTTCTCTGACGGCCAAAAAGCTGAACAAGGGATTCCACAAAGTTTTTCAGCTTCATGGAAAGCCTCGTCAAAATTTGAGCAAATATTTTAAAGCGTTCCCTTTCACTCGTTCTTTTTTTGCATTTGTGGAGAAATCTTACATAGACAAGCTTCTGCTGAAGGACTCATTTTTTTTCAATACAAAAGAAAAAATTTAGTAGATTAAAAAATTAATCTAAAAAACCACGTTTTCAAAANAACAAACAGACAAGAAAGCGAGTTAATAAAAACGTGTTAAAATCAGGGATTTCAGGTGATTGATGCCACATGTGCTGGTTGTTGTTGTGACCCAGAGGATTTATTATTGAGAGCATTGGCACCTCTTATGAAACTTCCGTCTTGTTTCGTCAGTGGTCTCAGTTTCGCCTTGATCCGCTTGCTTGTCACATATTGAGAGAATGTTGAAGTCCAACAGTAGGCAATCATGGCTGGAAAAAATGCCAAAATGTTAGACATGATTTAATTCGCAGATCCAACTCTTGGTGATGCATAATTGTGCTCTGTTGTCATTTGTGATCAAGGATCACTAAGGAACACAAATAAAAATACATTAAATTAAATCAGCCTTTTGAAGACCAAGAACACATATTCCAGGGGGTTCCTTGAATATATTTTCCTAGTTTTTTGATAATTTGATTAACAGTTTCAGCAGAGTTGAATAGATTCAAGAATTCCAAAGAATAAACTAAAACAATGCACACAACATATTTAGATTACGCAATTCACTAGCATGCAGGAAAAACACAGTTTTGTGCCCTCGAATCCTTTAAAAGGAAAGAAGATGATTGTCCAAGAGTTCAGGACAGACTGACTCTTAAATTCAAATTATCTAGAGCTGCTTATATGATTTTCTTGGAAGTTCCTGTTCAGGTGGTCTGACCAGAACATTCCACAAAATCCTTGGATATTTTCTGGCCTCTGATTGTCTACAAATAGAAAAATTAAAAAAAAATTTGATGCACTGCATCATCAGCTGATGCAACATCATTTATTCTCCTCAACATCATTTATTGAGACATGTCACAGTCAAGGGATTTAGTGTTTTGATTATTTAAAAATAAAATGGTTTTCTGCCTGATGCGGAAGTGAAGGATTCGCTTTTCGAGATTTCCAATAAACACTACTGTCATATACGTAATATTCAGAGAATAATGAGGCAATACTGGAAATCACAAAAGAGCCATTTTGGTTTAATCAAACACCAATGCTAACATCTGTATGCTATGTATGCTAACGTACATATTCAGATAGTGTCTCACCAAGGATTATCCAGTAAAGCCCAGACAGACTGCCCCAAAAGGAGGCCTCATCCTCAGTTTGGGCAGAAGTTGAAACCCAATAAATGTTGTAAATCCCGAACCCGGCGCCAACAATGAGCAGGAACATGTTCTTGGCCAGCCAAGGAATCAAAAACTTATTCTTGTCCTGAAGAGATTCATCAATAAACACAAGCACCAAATGTTGTTTTTTCAATGAACATGTTTTTTGATGAAGTCAAAGAAACTCACTGAGTAAGCTCCATAAGCCAGAACCACTGACACCACGAGGTTCAGGAATGAAGAAGTGATCGCAGAAATGAGCCCAGCATTCCAAACTATACAAAATGGAAAAAAAGATATTAAGCAGTGCTACCCAATTCTGATGTGGCCAAATTAAGGCCACAATTATGCAAATTTTGTGGCCGAAGACAACATGGCAGAGGCGAGGAGTCCTTAAAGGCCTCATCAGCAGAAAATAATTTTTTTGGTTCAAAATAATCCCCGATCAAAGAGATAGACACATTTACTCAGATATCAGGGACACTTTTTTCAAAATCAATTAGGGAAAAAGAGTGTACAGTATATTCCTTTTCAGTGTGTATACATCATGTGGTACCTCACAATTCAACCATCCCGCAATTGGACAGTTTATTTTTCTGGGAGGTTGTCTCAATTTGACCTCTTCTGCACAATTTGACCTGTGTAGAGTCATTAAACATTAAATGCCATGTGGAAAACATGCCATTTTTTTTACTTTTTCTTGCAATGTGACTGCTTTGCAATTCAACCCCAGTCCAGCAATGGATTATAGGGTCAAATTCCAAGGTACCCCCAGAATAACAAAGTCTTCAAGCATTTTAAAATCATGGGAGCTCATGATACTCACTCATTTATTGGAATTTGCTGAAAGATTGTCTATAAGGATTGAATATCATGAGCACCTAAGCTTTTAAAATGCAATGCAGTAATTATTTGCTGAAATGTCTTCAACATTGCCTTTAAAGATTATTTCCAATGAAAGCAATAAACAAGTAATTCAATTGGGGTTAAATTTGTCAATATTTTAATGTATTTTAGTTTAAAAATTAAGCACTTTCTTAGTAATTTAACATGAGGTGACTATTACTCCAGGGTGTGTTGTACTCCAGTACATATAGTACTTCAGTGCCATGCATTGAATCACAAGAATATAGCCTTTCAAAATGTTTGAGGTGTGAAGCAACATTTTCAATTTTTGAGTTCATTGGCCAATATAGTTCTCAAATAATTGTAGCTGCCATATTTATAATTATGGGGAAGGGGCTGAGGGATAGATGAATAATCTTTAAAGGCTGGATCTGGCCCACAGTTTGCATGCTTGTCCACATTAATACTGGTGAACTCTCTCTCTAAAATTCTCTTGTCTACAATATTTTCTCTGTACAGTACAGTATATCAAATTTTACTTTGGTACTATTGGGTTATCTTGCAACACGTTCTCATCTTCAACCAAATTCTCAGCAAAAATTTTTCCTCGGTCCTTTGGTTTTTGCTGTTGTGGAGAGTGGACCTGTTCAACTTTGACTTCATTTCGAATTCCAATTCCAACTCTTCTATGAAACTGATGTTACATTCCGGAATGTTCAGATGCTCTTTATCAAATGCTCATACTGATACTGACCTCCTTTGGAGAGAGAATAAAAGTCTTGGGCTTGCTGGGCAATGAGCAACGTTTGATGTTCTTTTTTAGTGTGCACCAGGTGAAGCCAATACGACGCACCGCTGATCACCACAATGCAAAATGTCTGAAAAATCAGGATTTGTAAATACAATTTTCAGCCCATAAAAGAAGAGTTTCCCAGGATTTCATTTACAAATTATAGAAAGATTTCTCCGAAATCACAGAGCAAGAATAGTTACTTGCATGATCTGAGGAATAAGAAAGCTACTTACTACATTTGGTTATATGGTGCAGGATCTTTTACAACAGGAGAACCAAATTTGGCCATTAATCTCAAACATTATCCAAAAATTGCATTCTCAAATTCTCAAATATCCTACTCAAATTTGCAGCAACAATTTTTCTGCATATTTTACAGACGGATTTAAAATTTAATTTCCATTTAAACAACGTGTCTTACCATAAATAGAAATTTTAAAATGGCAATAACAAAAATATATAAACTAATGAGTATACAGTATTGAAATTCGATATATGAAAGTATGATACAAATGATCCAAATAATAAAATCAGATAAGCATTTGTTTCAGATGGTATTATTCAGTTTGAAAAGAATGTTAACAGCTGGTATATGCAGAAGATTCTGAATTTAGTGCCACCTTTCATTATTCATTGGCAATTTCTAGCACTAGCATGGATTGGGAATGAATTTTGATCATAACGTAATAAATATTTACACTGTGGTCTTGGCTAAAGTGAAAAGAATGTGTTCCAGAATAAAGCTTATTGTCAATTGAGACCCAATGAGCACAAAAGTCTCCAAAAAATGTCCGGAACTCATCCAAATGAGTTCTACGGACATTTTTTGGAGAACTTCTCCAAAAAAACTGTGCTCTGGCGGACACATTTTGAAGAACTTGTCCGCCAAAACACAATTTTTTTCTCTGGCAGACAAGTTTGGAGAACTTTTTTCCGCCAGTGTACAGTTCTCTTGCGGACATGTTCTCCAAACTTCTCCGCAAATTTTGGATAACTGGTGGACAAGTTTGGAGAAATTATCCGCCAGTTTTTGGCACCAGAAACTGGTGGATAAGTTCTCCAAAGTTGTCCGCAGTTTATCCAAAATTGGCGGACAAGTTTGGGGAACATGTGGATTTAGCTTGTGACTTGTCTTTACAAGCTAAATCCACAAAAACCAAGCAAGACTACATGAAGGGGTCTGTGGCTGTATGGCTACGGCGCCAGACACTCATGCAGGAGTTCCTGGGTTCAATCCCTGGGAGAAATAGGATATTATTTAAGAGGTGAGATAGGTAAATATAGAACTCTAGATATAAATATACAGGGTAAGTTATATACAGGTGTAATTAGCATGCTAGATATAATAATCTGTAAAATAAGATAGTTAAGATGATAGTAGGAATAATATAATTCACCATTAATTACAGGCAAATTAATTCAGCTTGTATAAAATGTAATTTGTAGAGACAGAGAAGCTGACACTATGAATATTGAACTGGAAAACTTTTATTCCAATATTATTTTGATTTAAAAAAATATATATATATTTGGAGGGAACTGGAACAATTTTTGGAAGGGGGGATGAGGGCGCGGACCTCATGAAGCAAAATATCCGAAAACATGATACACAAAAATATATATATGCAAATCTGTTGTATATTGTATATACCTCTGAAATTCGTATTTCAGAGGTGCGGCAGCGCGGATATGTGTGTGGATAACATTCGTCACTGTCAAGTGTGAGGGGGAGATTGGATGACTTTTGGATCAGAATCGGACATGTTGTCCGATTTCCATCCAAAGCAACTTGTCCGCAACTTGTCCTTTTTTGGCAAGATTCGCGGACAAGTTGCTTTGGATGAAAATCGGACCCAAAACAGACATTTTCATGCTCACTGGGGAATTGCAAAAATTTCAGTTTTTCCTCATGAAGAAAATTGCAAATTCTTGCTCCCCAAAAACAACGAGTTGCTTGTTTGTAAGCAATTGCACAGCATATCAACCAAATATCATGCTGTTTTTTTTAGGAGGAAAACATTTTATAGCAGGGGATTTTGGGGCCAACAAATAGTTGTATAGGTTAATTCATAATCATAGAAAGAGTTATTGCTGTACAGTTATTTTCGTTGCATTGACGTTGAAAACACATTTTTACTTTTTTGAGGGCTTACTTGTGATTTTCGACAAATGGGGCCAAATAAATAGAGTCAAACCCTAATTTACTGTCATAATGTTTCCTATACCGGGAAATTGTATACTAATACTGTATAGGCAAGGATGGCACTAAATGGAAAATATTTCATTGAAGTAAAGTTTAGTTGAGGGCTTTGTAAAAAAGGCTTGTTTGGATCATTGTTTGGCCACAAAATTTGTTTATAAGAGAGGGAGAGTCACAGCAGATAAGTTAAGGCTCAGATGAACTGTTTTTACTGCATTTCAATTTATTTAGTAGCACAAAGTACAGTATACTGTATTGGATTCTGTGCATATTGCATCAAGTGAAGAAGTGGAATTGTTTCTTGCAGTTTTGTATCAACCTGTCAATGAAAAATTGAAAACACACAGCCACTAGTATCAAGATGAGGTCGAGGGATTTTTAATTTTTTTTAATGTGACTATCTCAGGTATTGAGATACTCTTCCTCTGGAGGACATCCAAATAAATCCACCCATTCGAAAGTGAATTCAGAAATGGAATTTTAAAAATTATCCTCTGGGTAGGCATGTGACTCTGAATCAGACACTAATAATATTTGAAGAAGTGTGCCTTTATTTCTGGGATTTTTCCCTAAACTGTATTTCATTCAGGATCAGGACTTGGAAATTTTTTGGCACTAGGTGAGTTGCCACCAGCTGGGTTGTTCATTGCACCACAAATAACCGAATTGAAAGCAAAATTGAAATTGCAATGCTTCCAATAATATAAATAGAGTTACTGGCAACTTTACTTGTGATTGTAGTTAACCAACAAAATCTCAATCAAAATTCTTTGCATAATTTTTGGTCTTCGGATAAATAATTTTTAGGATGAAAATTCAATAATACAGCATTTAAATTCCAAATAATGTAATCCCTTTGAAATTTTGGATGGCAGCATAGTTCTCCTCCTGTCACATAGATGGGGGAGGTAAGAAGTATGGCGGCGCCCATCAGGAGTCAATTACCCGTGGAAAATTGTCACCTAGACATTTCACCAGTTTTCTACTCACTGCCACTCACTTCCACGCCAGCCCACTTACCTCCACACCACTTATTTCAGGGTTTAAAATTTTGATTAAATCAAGATCAATCACAAACAAAATCAAAATTGCAATGCTTGAGATTTTGATTGGGGAATGATTGTATCATGCATCAGGGGCATTACAATTTCAATTTTGGGAGAAGATTACAAACAAAAAGCAAGCGCAAGTGGGCAATATATTTTATTGCAATCAACAACCCTGGTTGATGTCATAAATTGGGGATAATTCTCACAAACACAACGGAGTGAAATTCGTGTCAGAAAATCTTGTGGAACTAGGCAAGGATGGCACTAAATCAATGGTTGACTGCTCTATGTTCCCATGGGCATCTGCTTTGGGAAAATATGATCCAACATATGTGGACCCTCTGAGAAGGGACAAGACCCAAGCAGAAATTCTGTTCACATCACTATGGCCCCAAAGCTATTATTCACATCATCAAAATGTATATTCAATTGTATTTTTAATTGTTAAATGATCTCACCATCCAAATGGCAGCAATGGCTATGACGCCGTCTCTCCCACAATAGCAGCAAACTCTGGGCACTTCTTCAGGCGGTGTTGCCCCAATTCGCCCCATTTCACCCTTTTGCTGCCCCTTTTCTGGGCCACAGAAGTAAATTCACCCTTCAACCCAAATCCATCCGACTGTATTGAATGATCGCTTATCCTCGAATTCTGTAATGCCTTTTGGGGAGAAAAATGAGGGATTGTAAAGTATTTACATAAAAAAAATTTTGCAAATAAATTACTGTATGACTTAATTGGCTACTCAACATATGAAAAGACAAATGTTCTTGTGGCTCTGGTGCATGGTCAATGAATGCCACGCAAGTGAATTCTGTTTTCAGTGATTTATGCAGATCTTTAAATTTCCTAGAATAATACCTTTTAAGTGAGCAAACGTCAACAAAATATAACAAACAATAGGGTTCTACCTCTGGCAGCATGGGAGAGATTTTTGCAGTAATTTACTATTTTTCGTGCAGACTTGGATTTTTGAATGGTACATGGGATACAAATGAAATGAATTGAATTTATCTGAGTACTGTTATCAGACATCGAAAATCCTTTTCACATATCCCTTGAAAGTATTTAAGTGAAAGTGTTATGCAATATGGAAAAAATTGACTTGAAACCTTGAACAGTATATGCACAGTTCATCGCCAAAAAAACCACAAACTAAATTTAATCATTCCCTTATATTCCATGAGATTTATTTTTATGCCGTATTCCTGAAGTTCAACAGTTTTCACACAATTTTAATGCGATTCAAATAGTTTTGAACACTCGCGAATCACCGGAATCCGCCACTCTCCGAATTTTGAAGCAGCATTTCAAGAAAAGACTTTTGATTCGAATTTCTTTACGATATTTCTCGACACTTTCTTTAGCAAAGTGCAGAAAGACGCTTCAGAACTTCACTGTCGTTTCGTTCTATGGAACATTAGTAAAATAGAAATGATATCCCTTGATATGCAGCATTGGAAAATTGCTTAGCCGATCAAACGCGGGTATGACATCAGAGAGAGAAGATAAGCCTGACCGCGGAAAAGATATGGTTCCTAGTTATCTTTCTGCCAGTGCAGGCTTGAAAGTGTTCTGTTAGCAGTATGTTTGCCTAAGTTTCTTTTATCAGCATTTTAATTGATATGGAAGCTCTCCCATGTAACCCAATATGGCTGATGAGAATGTCTAGTCCAACCATCAGATAATTTATGATTGCAGTAACTCATCTTGCCCTTTAGTGACACAGCAGGTGGTACCTTAGAATTTGACCTCTTGGAATTCAACTGTCCCAGAATTTGAAGGTCAAATTTTTTGAAGGCCAACTCACCATTTGGCCTCTCCCAAAATTTTACTGGTTTCAGCCTATTTTCTAGAGTTTTTGAGCTGTTTTCCCTCTATTTTACTGAGTGTCTTGCTATCTGACCCTTTTGAAATTTGATCATATAGTCCAGCAATCGATCAGGGTTAAATTGCGGGGCACCACCTGCTGCATATGGCTCACCACTCACCAGTGAGCATGTACAATGGACCATTGGTTAACCCTTCTGCGGAAAATTCAGACCTTTCTTTTTTTGGAAATTGCTGATGTATTTCAAAAAGACATTTCAAAAAACTATGACAGTGTGTTCAGAGTGAAATCAAAGAAATTCCTTCTTTTTTTGCTCACCAGCAGCATGGAAAATTTCACACAGAAATGAAAAAAAAGCCTCTGCAAGACTGATTTTTTGTATCCCTTAATTGGCTTGTATTGTTGCAGCATCCAATGATTGATTTTGAACCTGAAAGCCAGGATCCCAGTGTGGGGGTCACTGCAAAGAATCCCATCCTTGGAAAATCACAGTAATGATTCCATCTTTGGAAAATAACAGTAACTCTTTGTCCCTATAGGTAATTCTGATTTTGCTGATCTCCACTCAGCACTTCTGCAGGGGTTTGTTAACCAGCGCATATGGAGATATGAAATTTGGACCCACCCTAGACAAGTCCAATTTTTCCCCGGAATGTAAAGGAAATTTCTGCTGCAGAAGGGTTAAAGAACTTAATTGGCTGTAGAAACCATTCTGTTGAACTACTTTTATTTCACCAGAGCATTCACTAGAGAACCAATTAATTCGCAAAATGAATTTTTAGCGCCCAGAAAACCATTTAAAATGTAACTACACGTTTTTGGATGTCAAGGACTGAATAAGAATGACCTACGGTAGCATACTGTGTGTGTTCACATCATTTTTCAAGTTGGGATGGGAATTTAACTGATGAGACCACACAAAAAAAGATTCACATCCACAAAAAAATCACTCATGCTAAATGTCTCCACATATTGGAATGTTAATTTTTCATTGCCTTGAAGTACTGTATTAAAGTTGTATGATTTGTCTTGGGTGGTATTTGGAATGCAGGATGCAGCACAGAACTGCCAGTCAGCTTTTCCAAGGGGACTATAGCTCCTGAAAGGCAGCCACTATTTTTCAGCTTTATATTGACAAAATTTTAACTTTCATCTATTGAGAAAGAAGTATTCTTTGGAATCCCTGCACCTGGTGGAGTCCACAACTTGTTGAGAGGGCTAAATTGAAATGTGTCTGCGCACAAAAGAAGGGTTCAACTTACTCTGCATTTTTTGGATGTTATTGTGTCAAATTGAAGCTTGGTTTTTGTTTGTGTAATGCACAGTTTTTTTTTGCTTTAAAAAACACACGTGAAAACTACCTAAAGAATTATTCATTTTGAAAACTTGATAAACCATTTACTTTTGATTTAATAAGAATTCATTTGTTCAGCAAAAATGATCCCTTCCACTCTTGGCATCACTAAAATGCACTTTATACATGCTGTTGGGCCATGCCGGGGCTGCTTTGTAGCCCCTTGTAGCGTCTTTGCAGAGAACTTAGAAACTGGTACTGTACCTGGCACCAAGAGGTATGGATGAGCAGGATGGAAGCTCCTGCTACCATCTGCCAAAAAGTGCCTGCTGCCAAAACTGGTTGTGAAAGTTGTTTGGACTGAAGTTGTAGAGGAAGCCAGTGGTGCCCAGAAATAGTCACTTGCTGACTTCACTAGCTGAAAGAAGCATCTCCCTGAGAGCTCCCAATTGTGGTTGTCATTATTCTGATTGTTCTGCTTAGGTTCCTGACCTGTTGTGTTGTGAGACTGTGTATGTGAAATTGTCTGTATTGTTTGCCTGACTGCTTGTTAGAGCATTTGGATAAAGTGGTCTTCTTGGGACTCCTGTAAAGAGGATCTGGCCTCTTAACCCTTGGGTGGCAAAGTCAGACTTTTTCCGCAAAATTTGGTGTCAGTATGAGAAGCTTTTAAAAAAATTCATAACAGTGCATCCAGGGCAAAGTTGGGAAAAATCCTGGCGTATTTTTTAAATACTGCAGAAAAAAAAGTTTGCCCCAAAAATGAAAAAAAGCCATCTCCAAGGCTGAGCTTTTTTCATCTCATCCCTGGATTAGTTACATTATTTTCAGCTTCTTGGTCCTTTCATTTTGGGCACCAGACAAAGGGTTCCCATTTAGAGGCCACAAAAGATTAGCGGAAAAAGTCCAACTTCGGGAAATCACAACAACACATTTTTGCCGGATAAAGTCTGACTTTGCCCTAGGCCACCTGGCTGGGCTTTCATGGCCTTCAACAAAATTATAACCTGGGCCCACCCAAGAAAATCTGTACTTTGTCCTGCAATGGGAAAGGACCTGTCGCCGCGGAAGGGTTAAAGGCTGATTGCCCTGTTTGTTTATTTCATCAGTTCTTTGTGGAATCCGGCCCCACACATGCCTTCTTACAGAGGACTTTGACATTTCATACCTACTTTAACCAGTTGATGATGAGGCAATCTGAATTTAAAGACAATTTTACCTCTCATTTTATCAGGAGCCCCCACCCCCCTTTCCAGGTATTTCCAAAGCCCAATGCATGCCTGTGTACTTTTTAAAGAGCCACCAAAATCTCTGATATATGTTCAACTGTATGCATAAAACTATAAAATATATTTAATCTACAGTACTCATTTTCAAAGGGAGCTCTTAAGACATCGCATTTTTTCGATTTCATTCAGCTCTGGCGAATGCTGTTATGTAATGTACTTGTGGGATTGGTTTTTTATATAAGTAGCAAACTGTTCTGCGTTTGGTTTCCTGAATCCTGCAGTTGCTTTTTTGTTACAGAGACTTTCTTGCAGAAGTTTGACAGATTCCTAAATTTTAGAAATATTGTCAGCACATGTGGCACAAAAAAGACTCCATAGTGCTCCATGACCTTTTCAGCCCTTTTTCCCAGAAATGATATGAACCATTCAATAATAGATAACTTCGACTCATCCTAACTTCGCATTGATGCGCTGCATGACACTGTAATTCCCATAAGGCCTCAAACTGTGATAAGATGGTGGAAAAAGCTGATAACTTTCTCAATCTACAAGTTTTTTATATTGCAGTATTTACTGATGCAGCCTAAAATTCTTTCACATTGTTTCAATTTTGGAAAAAGACTGGTCCCTCTTTCAAGCGGTTGTGAAATTTCTATTTTAGGTTCAGAGCAAAACAATTGTTTTCTTTTAGATACTGTATATTTGATATGTCTACTACAATTTTTTGACGAGTCCTTGTAAATTTAATCTGTTAAAAATTAAATCAATCTCCAGTCATCTTATTCGGAGATTGCTTAGCAATTCAGGTAATCATTGTGTTTCATCACAATACCATCGCAAAATTTTCCCTTTTGTCTTTGTTGCTTGAACATTTTAGTTATACCATGATTGTAAATGCTGATTCCTATTTTGTCTTTCAATGTGTGCTGGAGAGTTCATGGCATTTCACACTGAAGCTTCATAGTATATAATGATGCTTCAGAGATGCTAGAAAAATGCGTGCTCATTTGAATTATAGAAAATTAATCAATTATGCAGCAAATTGAAAATACATTGAAAAAATCACTACAGCATACTGAAATTTTTCAGATTCTTTTGTCAAGAATCCAAATGGTTGTTAGAGTACAATGAGTTCCCACATGTGTACATAATTGGGGATTGAATCTTGTTCCTATATGTTGGCATGTCAACATGTTGGATAACATTTCCCTTGGACTTCAATTGTTTAGTTTATTTAATTGGCTCTTTTGTGTTGTTTGAAATTTTGTAAAATGTCCAACAAAGTATTGAGTAAAATACTTTTTCTCTGATTCGAGATACAGATGCAGAAGAAAATTTAACATAATCTGATCTTCTGACTTTTAAAGGGAGTTTAAAAATAAAAGATCAGCAGAAGTCTTTCAATGCTCCAAGCAGATATGATGAAGGAAATAACTCTGATGATGATAAAAGTGCAAAATTACCTTTCTTTTGATGAATTTTAGTGAATTTATAAAAACTTCATTTTTAACCCTTGGATGATGCAGGGTTCCTTTTCACAGCGCAGCAGAGTTGGGATTCTTTGGAAGCAGCGCATTTCAGTTTGAATGAATGGTCACTGAAATGCTACCAGGTTGAGAAGGCCTAAGTCAGGAAAAATCTGGGAGGCAAATTTTCAATTTTTTCATGAATCTCCCACGCAAATCACATACCATGGATGCAGGGAGAAATGCCACCTATGCAGTGAGGGATTTTTTGTTTATTTCTAATCAAAAATCCTCAGCAGGATTAGAAAAAAAAAATTAGACTTTTTCCCAACTTAGGCCTCGGTAAAAAAAGTAAGATTTTTAAATCTCCACTGCTCAGTAGCAAAAAAAATTGTAAAAATATCACAGCATTAACACACAAAAAAGGGTCAAGATTTTTGAACATGAAAACTGTAGCTCAATTGGTTCAAGATATCAAAATGTTTGAAATGAAATTTTTTCAATTTGTTGAGAAAAGGTGGTGGTGTCTATACATGCAGTGAGACCCCCAGCGGACACCTTGACATGTGGGCAATTTGACATAGGGACACTTATTTTCTCGTTAAAAATTTTAAAAAAATGCCCAACATGAGGACACTGACTCAGCCTAGGGACATTTTGTGATAATATTTAAAATACATTTCAGGCCAAATTACAAGAAACAGATATTTCCAAATTACAGTAAAGGCCTGACATGAGAACACTGACTCAACATAGGGACATTATGTGATGAAATTGCAAATAAGTTTCAGGCCAAATTACAAGAAACAGATATTTCCAACCCTAAAATTGATGTATGAAAAGTTCTTTGGCATTTCTCTCACCAAAATACCATCCATTTAGCTCATTTTAAAAAATTACCTCCAATTGCTTCTCTCTTTTCCACTTGAATGTTTTTGTTTACAGAGAATGCCAAAATTTCTATATACTGTACAGAGGTATCAGAATTCAATTCCCCAATTGTCCATATTGTATTGAAACATATGGATGGGAATCAGTTTAAAATGTGAGACAATTTTTATTTTCATGGAATTATGGTGAGTATTTTCTACATAAAACACCAATTAAAAAGTATATAATGCAAGTCTACGGGAAAAAAGACTTGACTTAGGGTCACTCTTGATGCACCAATTATGTCCACATCTGGGGGTCTCACTGTACTGTATATATATCTCAAGACATTGTCTAGATCTAATGGCAGATTTTTAGAGTTTCAAGTGCCCCTAAGTTGAGGCATCCACATGCCAGGGCAACAGCACTGTATCCCTAATTAAGGTAACACACAAAAAAAGAAGAAGCCTAGCTGTTTATTCATCCGCCAAAATCATCATTTGACAGAAGAATCTGGTTCTGCTCCAGCCAATCCTGAAAACAGCACGTGTCCTGTTCATCAACCCGATCAACATGCGTCCATTTCTCCAATACTTGGCCAATGAATTCCCGAACTGCTGAAACACTTGTGCCAACATTCGGGGCATCTTGTCTGCAGGTTCTGCCGTATTGAAGAGAAAACTTCTGCTTTTCCCGCTCTGCCAAAACGAACGAGTTCACTGCCACAAGCACGTCTTCTGATTGTGCTTGATGTTGGCTGCTTTCGTCATGAGTGTTGTTATTGTTTCCTAATGGAAGACTCACTACAAGTGGACCTCCACTGTCACCCTTCGAAAAGAAAAAAAAAAAAGAAAATGTGAAAAATGATATGACAATAAAATAGAATATGAATTTTAATGCTGCATTGGGATTATTTCTGACTGGGGAGAAAATTGGGCCAAATGAAGTTCCCTCATCTGTTCCTTGTGTGATTCAACTCACAAAACAAGCTCCTGTGCCATCTCCACCATAGCAAACATTGTAGTCTTCTATGTCCTCATGTTCGCCACCAGCAGACACCCATCTTCTGTGGCATTCACGTTGTTCCAGGACCTTCAGATGCGTCATTTGCAGGGTGTCAGAAGTCCTGACTGGTTTTGAGGGATATAATACAGACATTTTTGGATCACTCAATTCATTTTGGGTGTCCTATAAAGTGACTGAAGAGCAGGGCAAAAATTGATCGCTTTCTCAAGATTTTTTGCAAAAAATTACATTTTATTTATACGCTATTACAATTACTGTTTTATAAAAAAAAATAACATGGTAGCGTGTTTTTTGACAAGAGCCTCTGCTTGAATTTTTAAAAGATTAGTCATGGCAGCAAGTTTAACTTTTTTTTCAAGTTTTAATGCAGCATGTTTGTTGTGTTCTCAAGTTCACTTATTGTAGCAAGTTTTATCCACAGCCATACAATTACAGTCAGACCCCCACTTGTGGACACATCAACATGCAGACAATTTGACCTTTGGGCACATATTCTCCTATAAAAAGTGCATAAAAAAGGCCGAATATGTGGACTCTGACTCAACATGCGGACATTGTGTGCTAAAATTGCAAATGACTTTCATGCCAAATTACAAAAAGCAGACATTTCCAACTGAAAGACCTATGTAAGAAAAGTTCTTTGACATTTTTCCAATAATCATACCATCCATTTAGCCAATTTAAAAAAATTTCCTCCAGCATAAAGGGACTTCATTCTCTATTTTTGACTTGCATTATTTTTTATAGAGAATATGCCAACATTTCAATGTACTGTACAGACAAGGTACAGTAACCAATGCTTCAAATGTCTTTATTGAGTTGAATAATATTCATTCAAGCAGTTTGGATTGGCAAACAATTTTTACTATTTTTTATGGAATTCTGATGAATATTTCTTCCATAAAGCACCAATTAAATGTATTTAATGTAATTCTAAGGGAAAGCAAGACTTAACTTAGGGATACTTTAACTTTGGGACACTCTTGATGCACCAATTATGTCCACTTCTTTTGGGTCTTGTTGTAAACAATTTTCAAGTTTACTCTTTCATAATGAGAACTCATTTTCATTAAAGGGTACTGCTGATTATAGTTCTGCCTGGATTCAGTACCTATATAACTTGTATGATGCTGATGTTGAGTGCAATGGTACACTGGTTATACTTCACCTTTGATTTGTGCTCCTTTATTTTCCAAAGAAAAAAAATCAACATTGATACCCACATTCTCATATTTTCTTGGAGAATATCCAATAACTAAAGTCAACCCTTAATGTATTACTAACACCCTTGCTTCATAGCCCAAATTTTTCCTGAAGAAATCCTCATCTTCTAAACTATCTAAAGAGTGAAATGTGTGTAAATTGCCCTTGATTTATTGGTAAATTAGTTGCTTGAACTAATAAATTTCATTGTATAGTTATTGCGGTATATATGGCACAATACTACAGGTAAGGAATCTAAGGACCAGTCTGATCAAAGCCAAATACAGACAATGGAAGAACCAATCACAATTCACAAATGGTTTCAAGTTATGCAATGCATGCAGATTTGTACACAGCTTATCTTTTAAATGTCTTCAGTTACTTCAAGACAAAAAGTAAGTTGCATACAAATTTAGATAAAACACCTCATCAGCCCACTAATATTTGAATGCTTCAGGCAAGACTCACCCTGTCCACTTGTAACCACCCCCCAACCAGTGAGTGTGGCCCTGAGGCCAATGGCTGAGAAGTTCTCCGCAGGTAAATGCAGCAAAGATATTTTAGAAGAAAGTTCAACTGGTTTGGGTAAGTGCACAAGGGCTATGTCATAGGCCAAAGTTTCCAGGTCAAAATTTGGGTGCACCTCTGCACCCTGGGCCACCAACTGGACCTCACCTTCCTCCTTGTAGTCAGCATGCAAATCTCCCAATGTGACCTGGATAACAGCAGCCAATTCTCTTGGAGAGGAAAAAAGAGTAAATTATACAGTAAAATGTCAGTTCTGCACACTTTTGCAGACTTTAGAAAAAGTGTTTTCCCCCTGAATAATGTGTTACAGCGTGATTTTCAAAATGAATACCTGGGAAACTTTTTCACCCCAGAATGGCCTAATATTAATTAGATCTTGATTTTCTGACATTCTTAGAATATTCTATTATAGTGTTTGAAAAACTGAGAGATCTTTCATCTTCTGGAAAAATTAGGTTCACTCATGCATTCCATTAGTTGCACCCATCTCTACATTCTGCAAGGTTGATGTGTGGAACCATTTGGAAGCATGTTTGTCATTGATCACAGCTTCCATCCATGCTATATACACAAACCAGTCAGTCACATTCATCATTAGAAATTTCAGACTACCTGCCTTAATCATCAAATTTTTACTTAAAGCATGTAACATACATTCCTCAGGAAAATTTGCTATACTGGAATTTGAAAGTTTTTTATAACAATATTGTTTTAAGATGCACTATCTATGGACTTTCTGCCAAGACTTGAAAAGAGTTTGTTTCACTAAAAAGGTTTGCAATGGTGTTTGATGTAGCAAAATTTTACTGCAGCTGGAATGGTGGGATTTTGCTACATAATTTTGGGTTTGCCCCATTTATTGACTCACTCAGCTGATGCATAAAGACAGTGTGCAGCTGTGATGACCCAGCTTGGGTGAACCAATGCCCCACCACAAGTGGAAAACCTGGGTCTTGATCCCGCCCATGGAGGACCATTGCTGAAGGATATGTTGAGTCTTGCCACATATGCAAACTTCTCCCGTCTGTTCACCTCATTGCCACCCATGATGTGTGGACTATAAGAGGAAATTGGGACAGCTGAGCCATCGACCATGAAGTCAATCATCATGCTGATTGCTGAGCGCAGTGGCCACCATCCAAAATATGTGGATTTTGAAGAATCTATGTGTATTTGAATCATATATAACAGAGTTATTGGACTTTTTTCATTGTGGAATGTTTCCAATCTTCTCAGTCATTGAACCAGAAAGGTAGTATGTTTCTATATGCATGCATGAGAATTATATTTTTGTTCAAGTATTTGAGAAAAATTCATTGAAGTGGAGTTAAAATTTACTCAAAGTAAAAGCAGAAGATCTTGAATTACTATAAAATTGTCTTTGCAGCACAGTGAGGCCCACAGATGTAGACATAGTTGGTGCTGAAATGATTTGACCTTGTCCATATGTAGAAATGTATGCAAATTTTACCTCAGACTTCAACGGAATTGTATTTAATTAGTTATCCTGTGGATCAAAAAAGTTCCCAAAGGATCTAAAATAAATAATTTTTTTCAAATTTCAAATCCTGTGAAACTAACAGGGCAGATGGAAACAAAACATAATCTGATCTATATTTTGGCCCAAAAAAGCAAAGAATATCAAGCACATGATTTCCTGCACAGTTTGCAGTTGCTCAAGGGAACTTTTAAGAAATAAGCCAAAATTAAGTTTGTTTGGATTATGAATCACAGTGCATTTATACTGAAACATGCTGGTGGGTACCCAGCCACACCAGGGCAATGGTTGGTATAAACTTCTCTATGATTTTGCAATGATGATAGCAGGTCTTATGTCTGAGAGCAGGTTTCCAGCCAGGTTTGTGGTCATTTGAAAATTTTGATAATTGGAAAAATCTTCATAATGAGAGCACTAAGTGGTATGTTTGATGGCTGCTAGCAATGTTGGGTGCCCAGCTAATTCCCACACCAGGGGAAGAATGTTTAGAATTTTAGCTATATTTTAAAAATGCCCCATAATTACAGCAAATATACATCAAAAAGAGGGTGCAGGGCCACATGCTTAAGAGTAAAACTGATAAAACATGTTTAGTAATGCACTTTGAATGAATGAATGGATACCCAACTTACCAGAGCTAATACGTGAATATATACTATAATGAAGTTTCAACTGTGAATATAAAAAGCTCAAATTAGTCAAGAAATATCAAAATTTTGAAAATTTAGTATTGTCATTTTCTCTTTAATTAATGGTACAGGGTGAGTACCCATGACCTTTTCTGAATGTCAGCTAGGGCAGATTTTTTCTCTAGGTTCAAGTGTCCTCAAATCATATTGTCCATTTGTTGGGGCATACTGTGTATTTGTTTATTTTCTTGTATTAATAATTGGCCAATGAATGGTGTGGCCTGGATATAAGAACTTGAGAAGACTTCAAAAAATTCAAGAAAGCATTTCTTGTCCTTGCCTTTGTTCATTCCAGACTGCGTCTTTATACTTACTTCTTGCTATATACTGTACATTGAATGATATCATCTGGCTGTAAACATAACACACGGCTTCTGAAAGGGCATAACTACTTTCTTCAACATGGACCAAGTTAGGTTGTGAAGGTGATGTAAAATACTACGTGTATGTTTTACATGCATAGAAAGTACACCTTATCCCTGCATTTTTTTACAGTTCTCCATTTGATGATAGCATATATCATCAGACAAGTCCAATCATCATACATCAAATTATGGAAGACAGATGATAAAATGTGAGAGAATAAATCTTCTAAATAATTTAGTCATTTTAGAAAAGGCTGTTTGATGGAAATTAATTTAAGCAAAAACAGTCAGTCCAGCACTGCTTAGGAGGCCCGGGACACAGATTTATACTTTGCAGTTGACTGCATCCCATTCAAAAATGAATAGTAGTAAAATCAATGAATATCCTTCAGGATCAAATGCCAAAAATCAACTTTCTTCATTGTAATTAAGATTGCCCAGGGAAACTTCTAAAGCTTACAGATTAAAAATCAGTAATGGCTTTCCATTTGGAAATGTCATTTGGTTTTTTATGTTTGTGCAAAACTTGAATCATGGCAGACTTGTGGGAGAACCAAAATTCATGCATGATCTCTGTGAAATGTAGAAGTCCAGAATAGGAGAGCATTTGAACTTCTATAGAAGAATACCTTAGAGTTTTGCTGGTTAAACATTGAAAATTTGCAAAACTGGTTAAATTTGAGTAAATTTGTCCATCATGTAGAGAGAAGAAAGTGGTCAGCACTCTTTTGATTGGAATGAGTGTACAGTCAAACCCCAACTTAGTGTCATTGTTTGTCCACTTTTACTTTCATTTCATCTGGCACATTTTGTGACACTGATATAAATGATAATTTTTGGCCCTCTATTAATAGGGAAACATCCCCATTCACTAACCTTATGATGACCAACGTTCTACGGTATTGTTTTTGGTTGTGTCTGTGTGCCAAATTTTGTAATACCATGACTTGTATCAAAACTCGAAGCATCATCAAAAGTTTTTTCATTGAAATTTCAGTCTATCCTGGATTCGTTGAGTTTCCCACTTTCTATTTTTGGCAGTAATAAAAATAGCATAGCGAAACTTGAAACATAATAAGCATTTACAGGGGCATAAATTCCTGTCAAATCTGAAGATTATATTCCATGATACAGTCAAACTCTGTTAAGATGCCCCCCAATAAAGCGCCACCCCTATGCAACTGCCAAAATTTTGAATGAAACAAATCTCCTCCATGTTGAATTTTATAGAAAATCTCATTAAGAAGCCAACCGCCATCCACCAGCATTAGTTATGAAACCAAATTGATGTTTCCTATTAGTTTTGTCTTTGTTACAATGCCAACATTGTGGTATAGAATCATAATTTTTGTCCAAGGGTCTTGTATTTTTAAGAATATAAAAAAATAACAGTGATCATTGTTTTGAAAAATTTGAACAATATATTGACATAAACTAAAAATTCGAATAAATTGATGCAGCAAAATTCATTTTCTGAAAGAGTAATCCATTGCTGATCACAGCAGTACTCTTTGGAAAATAACTGAAGTTTCTAGAATACCTGTACTGTCAAACCTCAGTAAGATGCCACAATTGGTCCAGATAATTTTGGCAGTTTAAAGAGGTTGGCCGTTTATTGAATATTTAATTTTAATTGTTTGATCAAAAATACTCAAATTTCCTCCAAAAGTCATAGAGATACAGGAATTAGGTAAGAAACTTCAGTAATTTACCAAAGAGTATTGCTGTGATCAATGGATTACTCTTTCAGAAAATAAATTTTGCTGCATCAATTTATTCAAATTTCAAGAATAGGTCAATACAATTTTCAATAGAATGATCATTATTATTATTTTCCTTACAAATACAAGATCCTTGGCAGAAATTATAATTCTACCCCAATGTTGACATTGTAATGAAGACAAAACTACTGTAATTGGAAACAGCACTTTTGTTTCATCATTAATGCTGGCGGATGGCGGTTGGCATCTTATTGAGGTTTTCTATAGAATTAAACATATAGGAGATTTGTTTCATTTGAAATTTTGGTGGTTGCTGAGGGTGGCGCTTTATTGGGGGGCGTCTTAACAGGGTTTGACTGTATCTCTATGATTTTTGAAGGAAAATCCAGTATTTCTTATCAAATAATTTAGAAGTGAAATATTTGATAAATTTCCAACCCCTTCAAACTGCCCAAAACTGCTCTGGGCAAATTGGTGGCATCTTATCCAGGTTTGACTTTACAGTATTTAGATATGATGGGCAGTAAATAATCCATTTGAAGGTTGGGTTTTCATGACACACTGCAATTGTGTCAATCAGTTTATTATAGGACTTGATTTTCCAAAGATGTCTCACCGACAGTTTGGAAGAACCATTTCTTCCATTCTGGAACTCGATCAAAATCCAGTGGCTCAGGCGAGACTCTGACCTTCTGCGCACTTCTGGGCACTCTGAAAACGACTTCTTCTGTTTCCGACTCAACTTTCAGTTCCATGTGGTATTCATCATCATCATCATGTTTCGAGGCAGTGGTGACCATCATTAGGCAAAGCGGAATCAGAATAAATAAGAGCCTTTCCATTGGCTCAATATACAGTAATAGCTTGGATCCGAGTGGCGCTGTTTATTTCCTTCTCCCATGCATATTCAGCTCACGGAAAAGTCGCTTGGTGAGTTCAAATTCACTTCTTAAACCCCGCACTTCATTTTCATTCATTCTGGAGAATGGAGAAGAGAGAAAGCAATTTGCCCATACTGAATTTGGCACACGCAAAAATTAATTTTCCTGCATCGATGAAATTTCGAATGAATAGATTTTTTAATCAATTTCACTAAGAACGCAGTTATTTTCAGAATTTTATAGACTCCACAAATTTTGAAATGCTCTCGAAGAGAGACGGAGAAAAAGAACACTGACGTTTCGTATAAAAGAGCTGGCAGAAAACTGTCAACAAATTGCTTCACGTCACTCACTGTTTCATTTTTCATTTTTTCTTTTTTCTTTCCTTTTCTTTTTTGTGTTTAACACAGTCGACTCGTCGCTTATTTGGTGATGGAGAACTTGACGTTCGTTGAGACAGTGCTTGTCGCAATTCAGGGGAAAACTGGGTCAAACATTGCACAGGAATCTCGGTCACGGGAAAAGTGGGTCGAACACGGCATTGTTCCCTCGGATTCTGCAGGTCTTCAGTTGGCTTCCTGTGTCCTTGATGACGACGAGGAACCAGCGATTTTTTTTTATTGTTTTTTGTTTTTCGTGAAGGTTAAACATTCACCTGTGCAATTCGTGGCATATCCAGAATACTGCATGTGTTCAGTATCTCGTGTGAAGAAAATATTTACAATTCTTTTACAGCATTTTCATGCTGAATTTAGATGAATGTTTCTGATGAAGCCGGTCGATTTAATGACAGTGGACGCAATTGGTCAAACCTTGTCACAATACATGTTAGAGTGCCTATATGTTGGATCAAATTTTTAACGAAGACATGAAAAATGCGGATGAGAAAGTAACTAGAAATATAATTTTCAAAAATTAACTTCAAGATGCAGAAAATAACTGCGTTATCCTATTTTGCGAGAGATTTGACTCAAGACACTTTTGTCTTGTGAGGAAATGTCTCTCCTCAAAGAGCAATTAATCTAAAGTATTAAGCCCTCAAAAATAACTTTTCAGCAAGAAGATTTAGTTCTTATAGCCAGGGTTTGAAATACTTACAATATCTGAATTTAGAGTGTTAACGTGTATTTCTTGCTAGTTCAACCAAGGCCAGACCAACGATGAATATCTGTACATATACTGTGCAGAACCTTTATAGATTCAAACTATTAGTAGAGCGTCCACAGTGAAATCTCTTCAAATCTTTTCAGAACCACAGTATTTCAAATACCGCATAGTTTAGTACCATACTGCTGGTATAATACCAGCAGTACACAACCCCTTCAGGTATTTTTTTGGGGTGGTGTACCGCTGGTATTATACCAGTGGTACATAACCCCTTTAAAATACCACAGAGTTGTGTACTGCTGGTATAATACCAGTAGTACACAACCCCACAGTATTTTAGCAGCAGTACACAACCCTGGTATAATACTGCAGGGTTGTGTACCCCACAGCGTATTTTCACTGTGATTGGCCACGGTATCATTACCGCAGCCAATCACAGCTTTGCAGAGCAGATCCGGGAGTCCGGATCTGCGCTGCGGTATTATAAAATACTGCACAGCATATTTTTACTGTGATTGGCTGCGGTATCATAACCACGGCCACTCACAGCTTTGCAGAGTGGATCTGGAAGTCCAGATCCCCGCTGCGGTATTATAAAATATCGCACGGCGTATTTTCACTGTGATTGGCCGAGGTATCATAACCGCGGCCAATCACAGCTTTGCAGTGTGGATCCGGGAGTCCAGATCCATGCTGCGGTATTTTAAAATACCTAACTTCTGTGATTGGTCCTGGAATATTACCACAGCATATTATCCTACAGAACTTTATAAAATCAAAAACACTGTGTCAACATTCACTGGCAACATTCAAATGATCAAGATTATTTAGAAATCGAAAGTTTTTTGTGTGTTGCTGAGAAAAAGGCACTGCTGATTTTGTCAAACCCAGAGGAAACCTGATTTGCAAAATGCCCTGCTGAAGCCTCAACACTTGAGGGATGATAGTACAATAAGTCTATAATCACTACTTGTATGCTGAGAAAATTCCTGACCGCTGCAGGACTCAAACCTGGAACTGTTGCACCATGAACTATGCCTCAACTGGATAGGCTGCCGTGCACTTGACGTTGGACCTAGATGACGTGGGGTCATATAACTTTCTTTTTCAACACCTAGGCCACAGACACATGTTACACGACGTCCACTAGTAGTAGAGCATCCACACTGCGGAGGCTCTACTACTAATTGCACCCTAATTGAACTTGGGAATTCAAATTTTTATATATTATATTTGAAAAAAGAATTGCTGTATGACATTATAGACATAACATTGCACTGTTTTTCTATGTTAGTGCCCCAATGTAGCAAAATATACATACATAGATACATACATACATACATAACATACATTTGAAATCATAATTACATACTGAGTGAAATTCTGGAAATTTGGAAAGAACTTTAAAATTGATTGTTTTTATTTTCCTGAAGTAAAAAATTTTGTGCAGCTGTATTTGCAATGACATGGGGTTTTCAATTTGATCAGTTAAAAATTGAGATCTAAAAAGGAATTTATCCCATTTTTCACTCAATTTATTGAAAAAGGTCCACATTTTTTTATATCTCAGTCAATTTTTGGAATTTTTCAAAGTTGGAAATGGGGAAATGTGCAGAACTTCATTGCGCATCCACCCTATAGAAAACGTAGAGTTTTGTTGAGCAGAAATCATATGGTGAATGTTTATATTGAGAAGGTTGGCAAACAAAAAATTTTTGGACTTTCAAGTTTAACTCATATGTTATCCAAAAACTATTTTACGAAATTTGGACTTTCAAGTTTAACTCATAATATTTTTGGAGCAATTTCAATTTTAAAATTTTTCTTGGATGCACAATGCATTTCTACAAATTTGGAATTTTTTTGGCTGGAGGAAGTTCAAATCAAAATAGCAAACATTTTCTAAAACAAAATGTGCCAAGGGGTGGGATTGAACCAGGTACCTCCGCAACCATTTCACTGCACCCTAATTTTTTTTTCATGCCAAGGAAAACCTGCTAAAAGTTGGTGCCACAGACACATCCTTATTAAAGTTCCCCAAACCCCTGTAGGATCCTACTGGTTGTTCCTCCCACTGCGGACGTTAAAGCCTGACCTGACTGCACAACCAAAAACTGGGATGCTAGAAAGGGCACAAGGGAAATGACCTCAAACCAGACAGTGTATTTCATGCACAATGACCGTGTCTGCTTTGGAGCAAAGAGTTGCTAGTGAGATTGTTCTGGAACAATAGACGCAAAAATAGGCATTATTCTTTGTATATTGCAGGACAATATGGAATAGTATTTGGTGACAGCTGTGTGGAGGAAAATTACACAGAATCTGCTATTTTTGCATCAGAAAAAGCTCAACAAATAGAAAAAGAATAAGTCAGTCTACTAACTAAACTGTTCACACAAGATTGGGGGGGGGGGGCTGGAATAATGAAGCTCAAAACTAGCATGCTTTTGATTATGAATTAAGGTACAATAATTAAAAAATGAAATTCAATTTCAGATGTTTTGAATATGAATGGCTCAATTTGTTCAGATTTGTCAACAGTTTGAAAAGTATTGTGTTGCCCATTCTTCTAGAAATGGAAATATGTCTGAATCAAAGAAAAATTATCCAGATGTTGGGCAGATTTTTAAAGTTTCAAGTGCCTCAAAGTTGAATTGTCCATATTTTGGGGTTTCTGTATATATGTCTGGGTTCTATCTATATACAGGAAGATCCCAAGATGCGGGTGTATTTGGTGCATCAAGATTCAAGAGTGTCACAAATTCAAAATGACCCTCAGTTGAGTCTCATTTCCCCTTTGACTCATATTGTATGATTTTCAATTAATGGTGTTTTAAAAAGAAATATTCATCATAATTTTCTGCGGGAAAATATTTAAAAACATTACCCGCAAATTGAAAATTATTCAATTGATTTCTTTCAACTCATCAAGAATATTTGGAGCATTGAGTGGGGGGGGGGGAAGTGGGTTGGATGAGAAAGGAGTGCATCAAAAGCATCTTCCTCCTATTCTCTGACTTTCCTTTCTCCAATATGTTTCCCTTCCCAACCATCCACTTCTCACCTCATTTCTTCAACTGTCAAGATTTTCCTCCTTCCTAACCTGCTGTTCAGTATTTTTTGTTAGTGAATTTATGGGGTATCATTGCCTGCTTTTTTGAAATTTTTGAAAACTGTTTTTTGTTAAAAAATTTGATCACACACATATCCCTCATGCAGAAACTGACTCCAGCTCCACCTAATCTCCCACTGTAAGCAAATTGATATTCTTTGCTTTTTGAGGACATCTATCCCCCCATTCCAAGGGTATTATCCAAGGTAGTAGAGTGAGGGAAAACCGCTTCTGTCCCATGCCAATCTCCACTTCAATATTCTGGCTTTTCATTCTACTTTTTTCTTGCCATATAAAGCTAATCCTCGCATATTTTTTCATGCATAATATGTCATTATAGAATTATTTGAAATGCATGATAAAACTATTTGACTTAATTAAAATAAAACTATCCTCAATGAACCTTCCTAGCCCAAAATTAACCTACCTTGACCAAAGTAGAAGAATTTACTCTTGAAGCATATTAATCCATTCATTAATTTTTTCATTTTCAAGATGTTGGAGATGGAGGAGAGATTTTTCATCCTCTGGGTCTGGGCATTAACTGCCAAAATTCTTCTGTACAATCA